AGTATGTATGTATGTATTTTTATCTTTATATATATATATGTACCTTTAGAAAATTTTGTATTCTACGTAAAACAAATATCCGACCTTCCTACCAATATTTACTCTTCACTCTCTTCATTATCCCATATATAGATGATAGCCCACCCATCTGGGACGATATAGCCAAGCCAGCAGCCTTCTTTGCGCAAGATGCAGACGGCCACTTTTTGTTCACAGAGGAACACAAAGCGACTGATACTGCTCACGTGGACATGTTTGTTTTCCTGACGGAGTTGGACAAGGCCACCTCGCACGAGGAGAGTGGCGACGGAATTGTATGAAAGTTCGGTACAGTGTTCTATTTTTAGACTCGATGACCTCTTATACTGCGACCGTGGGCATGCTTGTTTGGCCTGCGGGCTTTGTGACCACGGTGTTTGAATTCAAACCAACGGTTTCTATAGCATGCATGTGTGTGTGTGTATATCTTGCCATGAGTGTTCGGGTCTTCACAGTGTTCTAAATTTAGAATCCACCGGTCTTCGATAAAGGTTGACATGGTTGCTGCTTATGGCAGTTGGTAAGGTTTACTAGTTCTAAACTCCCGAGTCTGTAGTACTATGTGCAAGAAATACAACGGTACAACCTACGCTGGTTGATGAATAATACACAAGCACTGTATGATAGTCCAGGGGCGTGTGCTATATTTAGACCCCGTCTATTTTTAGAATATAAGAGTTTACAAATGCATACAGTATTGCGGATCCGGCCCGCGCTTATAAATACTAAACAACATATATACGAGTGTCGAGTGTAGGGTCGAATCCGCTCAAACGCTTTCTTTCGGACCATATGCGCACAAATGTATGTGATGTCTGGGTGGTACTAATCAAACCCATCCACGGGATTGAAAGATAAAGTTATATAGACGTTCGGTATACTTGTGGGATACCTTCAGAGTTTTGCTACACGTATAGAAAATGAGAAATAAAACCCTGGCACCTAGAAATTACTCTATCCTAAATTCAGTCGCATGTTTCCTGATATCGACCTAATTTAAGGTATCCCCAACCAAAAATCCATTCAAAAAAACCTCTGTTCCGTTTCTTGTAATATAAAAGATTAACTAACTACCTCTGTGTGTACGGCCAAAAACTTCTGAACAAATTAGATGAGTCGCTTGTAATGATCGAATTTCCAGTATTTAGTTTTCATTTTCCTGACACTTATAATTCCCAGAAGGCGCGCGAGAACACCATCGATCCTCATGACGATATCCATAAGAGCACAGCCATGGTGGACTATCTTTATGAGTTGACGGATTCTCCTGAGATCGATTTAGAGGTACTTATATATATATATAGATATATATATATATATATATGTGTGTATGTAAATGTATATGTATATGTATATATATAAATATATATATATATATTTATATATAATAATGATGTAATAATATATATACGTGAGTGTGTATATTCATATATTTGAACTGCATATAGTGTACATAAATATTAAATTGTATTTGTTTTTCATGTATGTTGAGTGTGCTTTACGGATGTTATGCATATATAATTTGTTTGTGTATTATGAGGTTTCTGTTTTTGTTTGCATATTAAAGACAATGTTTATATTTATACACCTAGGTTGATTATCATTTATACACAAATATATCAATTGCTATTCATATGTTTGTACAAAACTTGATAAACAAAACTTTGGTTTTACGTTTATAGGTGAGTACAAAATCTGAATGTACAGCTGCTTCGTTTACATGATCTTTCACTCTTGCATACATTGACTCGAGCCGATTATTTACTATAGCGATCATCTCAATCGCCAGTGACCAATTCAATTGATGAAGTATTAACCTTAAGTTATAAAAATTGTCCCTCTGGGTTGCATATAAATTACCATCCTTCCTTACGCGTTTATGCAACACTCCTTCTGCTTTCCCTCTGGTATCAGTGTTCTCAGTCGTGCTTTGAGGTGCTATTGCTGGCAACTATACTACTACGACGGGTTGAGTACCAAGCCGATAAGTTGTCTCGAACCCCTGCCAGCGGACTTCGTTGGCTGTAACTGGGCAACCCAACAACCAATGAGCTTTTGCGACTGATCTGGAATTTGAATTCGCTTGGTTTGTGGGCTGCACCTGCCTTTTAAGGGTTAAGGGGTTTTACCACTTGTCGACACACGCGAGAAGCAACTTGATAAACTTCGCGTTAAAAGATCGCCTCGTCATCCAGTTCGGATTCCTGTTTCAGGGTTTTTAGGGTTAGTCAACAGTTCGTCATCCAGTCGAGCTTCCGCATTGCACAACTGCTCGTACACAGTCAAGAAGGCGCGCACTCACTCGCGGTATATCAGATGACATATGAGGTCATCATGAACACCCCACCCCACAGCCCTGCCGTCTCAAAGCTGATAGTCTTGGTTAAAACGCTTTCTATGAATTCGGGTAAACATAAACAGACGCCGAGCAGCACTACCATAGATATCACATCATTACTCCCACCGAGCAGCACTACCATAGATATCACATCATCATGTCTATCCCAACAGCCGTACACACCACCACCACGAAACTCGGAACAGGCGGTCTTTGCCAGTACGCGACAGACAGCGAACCATGTCGATACGGCTCCAAACAACGTGATACAGGAGAATACAATTTTGAAAGGTGCCAGCACAGTTCGACAACAGGGTATTTTGAATATTTCAACACATGCCTTCAGAGCTCACACAGATGTTTGAATTTGCGTACGTATGTGTGCATTGGATGCTGAGTACTATATTTTGTGATACGTATATATGTAAACTGGGCACAATATATACGTCTTGCGTCCTGACGGATCATATTGGGGGATGCACTGAGAAAGTACCGCAACCATAGCTGTATTTGGTTTTGTTACAGTGTTTGGTATACTTTCAGATACTACTAACTACTAGAAATGAGTTATTTTAAGCTCCGATACTACTCCTTATTAAGGAAGATATATTTTAAGCTTGGGTATCTATCAATTGTTTTAAATCCAAAGTTCTTTGCAGTCTCTCGTGACAAATCAAGTTATCAATCTTAACTAAGGTGAACCCTAAACCATACACCCTAAACCATAGATAATAAGCGTAAGGCACCCTCAGAATCGATTCCCGAAAACAAAAAACAAAAAGTCGATTCAAGCATCGCTGCCATGACTCGGACAAATAGCACAGACAAAGACGCCACCAGAAGTGACACAACAGCTGCGATCTCTCACAGCGGATTGGACGTAAATGTGAGTGCCCGTCTGGGTCATCAGTCGGCACAGCAGGAGACAACTGCGAACTCTTCCCAAATCGCCGCCGGTATTGGAAGATCGGGTCTACATCCATCTAAACAGAACGTATGTCTCTATATATATATATATATACGTGTGTATTTTTATTTATTTGCATGTATATAAAAGAAATGATTCATCTTACCTATGAGTATTCTTGTATACTGTGTGTATCTATCCCAATCAAAGGAAGCAAACGTGTCTAGTAGTATTGTGACGGATAATATACTTATAGTTGTATACCATCAACGTACATATATGCGTGTCTATGGCAATATATGTACGTAACAAGAATATTTTCTGAAGAAGCTTTAAGATTTAGTAAGTATAAACAGCCCTTCCTGTCCTGTACATTGCACCATCAACTCCCTTCGCCTATTGAATGTTTTTAACATATACTTTACATATTTGCATGTTCTTTGAATATATAATTAATATATTGATACTTATATATACTTTTCGAATTTACATGTTCTCTAATATATACTTAATAATATTTGTACTCATGTCTACTTTCCATATTACGTATAAGTATACATAATATATCCCGTACTGATGTTACGTGCGTCCTTATAACTGTAGAACGACGGATTCCGACAACCAACAAATAATGTACACAAAAGGAATAGTGATTCGCCTACGCTCCCACTTTCTGACAGTGAGGTATGTCTTCATTTCATCTCCGTTGCGGAACAAAGGGTGAAAGTTTAACTTCGGATTGATCCAGATTCAAGCCTACCGATATATTCAATCGTAATTATTCAGATCTAACGATTCCTATTTATTCAGATCTATTCAACTTATTTGAATCTAACAATGTTCCGGAATCCATCGTGTCCCTTTTCTTCTCTATGAGAAATCGATAGACACAGTTGGTTCTGAATCGCACCATTTTCAGGCATTTGTCCACGATGCACATATGTCGTATTGTTTCCATAAGGTCGCTCGATTGTTAAGTTGAGATTCCTTGAATCCGCCCCGTGCCTGTGCATTGGTACTTCAAATTGTCTGTGGCACCTCGTTTCTATTCAATGTTCAGTTAGATATCTCTGTGCCCAATGTGTACAGCCCTCGGACAGGGGGTAGCATCAATGGATCTCTTGCTAAATATATCCAACCCTCCATGCTGCAGTATATATATCCCACTCAAACCGAATTGGAGCGACTGGATCAACGGGAACTCTTCCAGCTGGCCAACCAAATGAAACAGGACCACAGCGACCTTACCGAACCGCTAAACGAGCTAAAAAAGATAGCGTATGTATTGGAGACAGTTCGAGGCACGAGTTGTGAAAGGTGTATGCTTGTATTACTACACTCAGTAATAGTCAGAGTTTTTAGATACATA